TATACTTTCTTAATCCTTTCTTGTTATGGAAACGAATAGCTATCACAACATGTCTCACAATAAGCCTTTCTTAGTCCTTGGCGTTTGGGCCTAGATTAGGTATACCAACACTAATTAACCCATGGGCAATTGGATTTCTTCTTCTTGAAACTTCTATTCATTATAGTTAAAATATGGGAGTGTTTTGAAGTTTGAGTTTCTATCATTGGTCATGTTAGTTCCAAAAGGAAACCTCAACATGCTACATAATTCCTTCATGGACATTCCAAGTTGTTCATATCAAAATCATAGTGAACAGATCATATGCACACGTTAGCTAGTTGACTAACCCTACTAAAATCATAACTCAAGGAAATTCCGTTTTACTTCAATATATCAATTTACAACGTACACTTGATAGCTGCTCTTTTTAATAGTTTAGAATACAATGTTTGGAGTAACCTTGGAAGAGCTTTATCAAATGCATGATCTTTCCATTCGTTTATGAGAATTATTTCCATACTAAAAATTTGACAAGATTGATCATCCTCATAGCTAATCCTTTCAAAGGTTTTATAGCAGAAGATTTTTGTGGATAAGGTTACAGACATCATTCAATATCAATTTCCATTACAGTTTGTTTCACTTATCCTTAGAAAATAATCATCCTAAATAAAATTATTTAAGAAGGCTAGGATCCATATTTATTTAGGTAAACACACCATAAATTTATTTAGGTAGGTAACGCCCTTTGCCATATTCGATTACCACAAAATTCGTACATCTTTGAGATTCATTGACTATCAATGGCATGTTAATCTCGGATTATGTTCATCTAAAATTCAATGACGGGGTGATATGTGCATATATATATATATATATATATATATATATATGTATATATATATATATAATCATATCTTAATATTTTTAGCCTTAATTATGCTTATTATTAGGACAAAAGATGCTTAATTGGTTATATGTTGTGTTATAGTAGTAAAGACATGCTCAGAACAAAAAAAAAGAAGCAAATTGCAAAGCTGGCACCTGGAAGCTAGGAATTTGGACTAAGGCAAAAAGAAGAAGGAAAGCTGAAAAACCACGGTGTGATTATCTTCACCACATTGTGGTAAAATGATAAATCACGATGATATTATGCCTTGCCGGATAAGCGACTTTTGCACCAACCACGGCATGGTGGCCATTTACTGCGTCGTGGTGCGCCGATTTTTGGGAACTATATAGATCGACTTTTCTCTAAAACCTAACTTATGTTGGAAGTAATTATCGACTCTTGGAGGCTAGAGATGTTCTTTGGAAGCTTTGGAGTGCATATTTCGATTATTTGCTTGGTTTTGAAGATATCTAGGGCAAAATTATTGCTATTTACTTGTTTTACTTTGTTTTGATCATGTCTGTCAAAGTGAATCTTGTTTTTACATGTTTGTTTGCTGAAGTTATGGGCTAAGCACCCTAACTTTCGTTTAGACTAGATTGCTTGCATTATTATGAGTTGATTTTGTGGATTGGATTTTGCTAGTTGATTATTTGTTATGTTAGCTTATTAAAGAACCTCTTTATATTTATGATAACTACTTTTTTGTTTATTGTTGAGTTTAATTAAGTTTGCATGACTTATCATTCTTAGTTGGCTTGAATCTTATGATCTTGTGATTAGCAAAATTGTAGGACTAGTGTTTTGACCAAAAACCTAGGGTTAAATTTAAAAGTGTGTAAGTGAATGTAGGAGCTAATATATGAAGATCAATCATATATTGTATTGATTTTATTAACCTAATAGATCAATCTATTATAAGTCTCACATAACTCGAACCGAACACTAGTAAATTTGTTAGTTTATCCGTTTGATCATCGTATGAATGAACTTATTTGCTAAAGGATTAGGTTAGTGAACATTAATCTTGTCATCTTAGGAATCAGTAATCAATAAAGCATTAATCCATTTCAATTCCATTAAATCAACCATAAAAGCAAGTATATCGAATCTAAACGAAAGTCTCTTAATTATCTTGGTAAAAATCGTTTCTTGTTTTCCTAGTTTTTCTCGTGTTCCTAATTGTTTTCTTTTTAAGTGTTAATTGAATGTTTAAGTTTCTAGTCTTGCAAAACTAGATACAAAACCCCCTTTTTAATTAATCGTTATTTAAATAACTTTAGTAGATAAATTTAGCTAATAATTTCGTTCCCTGTGTTCGATACTCGACCATTTGAGCTATTCAATTTTCGAATTATGTACACTGCCTTAAGCGTAATAGTTAGTTTAATTAGTTGGTTAAAAATAGTATATAAATTACATATCAAGTTTTTGGTGCCGTTGTCGGGGAATGGTTTCAATAATTAGTTAATTTATTTTTTTATTTGTTATCGACCCTTTGTTTGGAATTCATTCCATTCAAACTTATCTTTTTTTTAAAAAAAAATCGTATTCTGTTTCACTGTTTCTTACAGCTCACAACGACGTGGTCCTTCTTGACCACGACGTGGTATTTGTTCAGAAAGTTTTCGGTTTTCGTTCTTTTTATGTTTTATTTACTGTTTTATTGCAGTTAGTATATGACCAATGGATCAAAGTGTCAATTAACACCACCACTTGAAGATCTAGAGTCATCGTTTCATAAAAAGAAGGACAAAATCGTTGGAGAATCAAGCAACAAGCCGGAAGATGAAGGGAAGTTTGAAAGCTTTGATAAGACTCCTAACAAAAAGGGAGTTGGTTACGAGCCCGAAACAGAATCAGAAAGTGAAAGTGAGCCCGAAGACGAGCCAAAAAGCAACATGACGGAAATTACGGACATGACGATGGAGGAGTATAAGAAATGGATGCGTGATGACACCGGACCAGGTCTTGTGTACCCCACCATTCCCACTACCGCCAACTTCGAGTTAAAAGGACACATACTTGCTTAGTTGAAAGTCATACCATTCTATGGGAAAGATCACGAGGATGCTTACAAGCACATTGACGAGGTCAATGATATCGCCGACTACTTCGATATTCCCAATGTACCACGCGAGACAGTGTTACTCAGAATGCTCCTTGTTACTTTTAAGGGTGAGGCAAAAGACTGGCTAAAAGCACTTCCACCAGGAGCAATAACAATGTGGGCGAATATGCGTGAAGAGTTCATACAAAAATTTTACCCACCATCAAAGGTTGAAAAATTAAAGAAGGCTATGACAAACTTTGAGCAAAATGCGGGGTAATCATTGTATGATGCATGGGAGCATTATAAGGGATTGTTGAGAAACTGCCCCCAAAACGATCTAAATGTGCAACAAGAAGTATCAATATTTTACGATGGGGTAAACATAACAACTAGGCAACTCCTTGATTCTTAAGGGACACTCACGAAGAAAGCATCGGTCTTAATCAAGGAACTAATCGAAGAATTCTCCAAACATTCAAGAGAATACCATAACACTCGACAAGATGTAACAAGGGGAATCATGAATGCAACTTCGGATGATATGGAGGCAGTTTTGGAAAAGGTTGATAGCATGGATCGTAGAATTACAAAGATCGATCAAACCATCCATGCAATACGGGTGGGGTGTGACAATTGTAGCAGACGACATTTGACTAAGGACTATATCTTGATGAAAATGGCAACCGAAAGGCCTAAGCTTGCTACTCGAGCGGTGATCATTATGACGAAGACTGGTGAAAACCAAAAAAGAAGTGGTTACCTTATGATGAATATAAGAAAGCTAAAGAAGAAAAATATGAACAAAAAGGAAGAGGATTGTATCAAAAAGAGGAATCGGTTTCCGAGAAGAAACCCGATTTCGATGCAATGCTTACTCGCTTTACAGCCGCATCGGAAAATAGGCATGACGATACCGATGCAACAATCAGAAATCAGCAAGCCGCAATAAAAAATATCGAGAAACAAATTGGGCAACTCGTGAAGCAATTCAACGAAAGATTATCGGGAGCACTCCCAAGCGACACCTAAAAAAATACAAGAGGAGCCCACGTTCAGGCCATAACAACAAGAAGTGGGAAAATTGTTACCCATTTGACTCCTGTCACTAACACTAAACCATAGGTTGCACAGGAAAAAGAAGAAACGAACCAATAAAAACCCGTTGAACACTCAGCACGACGTGGTGAGAAGACCATGATGTGGTCGTCTGCTGAAAATAAAAAGAATGAACCCGTTAAACCATATCAGCCACCGATTCCATTCCCAAGCCGAGCAAAGCAAGATGAGCAGGCCGAAGATTACCAGAAGTTCCTAGAACACATTAAATCCCTTCAGATCAATATCCCATTCATTGAAGCTTTAGCTCAGATGCCAAAATACGCAAAATTTCTTCCTAATGAGGGATTAGCCTTATATCATGTTAAAGTTAATTTTCTTGTATGTCGGGTTGATTAATAAGAGTTAGAAAATTCTTACCATTCCATATCCTTTAAACACTACATATTTCATTTTAATTAAACATAAAACTCCTAAATATTACATCATTGTTAACTTGATTTACTTTATATTATGATTTGAATATTGTTTTGAAAAACCTATTCTTACAGTCAACCTTACAAGTATTTTAATTGTATTTAGGACCTAACCTTGTTTTACAGAGAGGAAAGGTGGGAGGGAAGGGGTAGAATGGTATGGGGTAGGGTGTGTAATGATCCGAGTATAAAGTTGTTTTGGGAACCATATCCATAAATTTGGATAAACTACATGGTCAATAAATATGGACTGGTTAGAAAGGTGTCTTCACCCCTCATTTGTACAATATCATTCAACTTGTTCAACCAATATGCCCATTCACTCGAATAATTAATTGCCTAGTTCCAATATCCTTAACACATAAAGGGTCTTAAACTGATATTCAAAACTCATATACAATGGGGGTAAATCTAAGCATGAAACAAATTTTATAACTCATATATCGAATGACGTATGCATCCAACCAAGTTTCAATTATGCATACATAGTTATGAAAATGAAGAGTGACCTTAACAATATTACATGATGCAAATGCTAATCCTAAGAATAGAAAGAGTCTTTTACTTTCATGTCTAGATTTATGCATTTAGGGTTCTTTCCCTTTAAAAAGTTTCCATACCATTGTGAAGACAACTTAGGATATCGTGTCAACTCCTTGTCATCCCTGTCAACATAATACATACCAAAACTAGAATTATATCCATCCATCTCAAAGAGGTCCAAGAAGGACCATACAAAATATCCATGTGTGTTTGATCCATTCCTGTTACCATGTTAGAAAAAAAATAATCATGAGAAATAGGAATTGATCTGTAAAGATCTAAAAATATAACATGTTTGAGAATATAGTAATATCTAGCATCAAATATAGGTATATGACTCTCTCTCTCTATTATTATTGGTATATTGCATGTATAGGCTACCACATTCGAACCTTTTTTGGCCCATGTATAGCTTCTTAGTACCATATAATGTTTATATATTCTTATTAATGAGAGAGATCACATTCGTGGGAAAATATAGTCAAGGTATCATAGCCAAAATAGTTCTAAAATCTTGATCTTTCTTCCACCTTCCTTCTTGCAATCTCCCTTCCCCCAAACCTTAAATGTAGTCATCGTTGTCAACCACCATTATCGATGCTTCCTCCTCCATTCTCCTATCTGAAAAACCCTTATGATATCACTAATATTAAGGCATATATCACGATAGTTCTCTATCTTGATAGTCTAAAATATTATACATTGAATGAACTTTTTCAAACACTTTACATTGGTTTAAGAGTTGCTTATCACATCAAAAGTTCCAGTGACAAAAACCATGCAACACTCGATAATCATGAGCGGAGATGGATTGAGTTAATCTATATATTATGGATTTATGAAAAATTCTATGTTTTAAATAATCCTTAAGCCAAATGTGACAATCCCTTACATTTGGAAAATTCTTGAAACTCTACTTTAGGATAATGAAGATGCCAAAACAAACTTGACAATGCACTATGCAACATTGCCGTTAGAGATTCTTCTATAACCATACACCAGTAGCAAGTTAATTGTTAATATATGGGAAATTCTTGACTCAATGGTCCCAAAAAAGAATATGATAATGTACATCATTAAAAAATTTATCATCAAAGTTCAATTATCTTTATTTCATTATTTTTCACATGTCTCTTCTTCCCTTTTTCTTGGAATCAAGTATGATGTTATTCTTGGAAAAACAATGAATAAATTGGGTAAAGAATAGAATTATAACTCACCTTATTTGATCATTTATTTTTCATCCTCGGTTCCTATAAGACAAAACTCAAGACAAGGACAAGGTAATGAATATGTCAAAACTCGTCGTAGGGACCGGTGTAACAACCATAGTGGTTGCTATCAACCCCATTCTAAGAACCGGAAACTAAACCAACAGTAGCAGTCGTCGCAACCGTCAACCCAAACTACACCCAATTAGGATTATGGCTAGGTTAAGTCACCTTAGGCCTTCATGTATGTTGGATTATATCAGTCTTATTTTGGGCTTATCTTAAAACATGGGCACATTGCTTCCCTCCACCCTTAAGCCTAATATCATTGATAGACACTATATGAACACATTCACACATCATGGCTTACTGCTCGGTTAACCGTTCAGACTAAATAGCCCGTCCTCAAGCCCATTACACATCTTCAAATGGTCCAATGTTTTCAAGGACCTTGTTTACTAGCGATAATGTAGGAACAACATATAAAGAAACTGTGTTACCTCATACGTTTAACTCCATGCCACTAAAAAATCATGGGAACAATGATTGGTATATGAATCCAAGTGTGACTTTCACTTCACGTTGACTTAGGTATTCTCTAGTCCATAATAATTTCATTTCTCATTATGTATTAATTAGTGATGGATCTTCATTTTCGGCAATTAGAACAATGTATACCAAGTTTCTATCTCATGACCCATATTGTTTATTATACCTCCAACATGTCCTTATCGTGCCTTAGATAAATAAAAAACTTAAGTTTATTCACCGCTTTACTCACAACGATACATGCACTATTGAAGTTGGAAAATGTGGTTTTTCTAAAAACAATGGAACCATCAGACACTCTTCAATTATGATAACACATACAATATACATAATGTCATTTCTCCCTTGTTTCTAGCTCTCTCAACTATTGAAACATTAATTTGGCATCAAAATATCAGTCACCCTAATGCTCATTTATTTTATTATTTAATATCTCACAGTTTTATCCCTTTTATTAAAGTTAAGGTTGACATTGTTCGTCCAACTTATCAATATGGCAAATATGATTGACTTTCCTCTAGTCTTTTTGAGTTTTTCATGCATTTTACTTTCAATATAAATTATTTTGATGTATGGACTCCACTATTGTCTAGTCCTAGTGGTCTCAAATGTTATGATATCCTGTTAAATTATTTTTCTTAAATGCTTTGGGTATATCTGCTTAGACATAAATAACATGTTTTTCCTAATTCATACACTTACTTAATTATGTTAAAACTCAATTTGGTTTTGATATTCCATTTTTCATTGTGATAATGATAGTGAGTATGAAAATACCTTATCTATTAATATTTTTGGCTCAAACGACATTACCCTTCCCTTTTTATGCATAGTAAATGCGAAAGAATGCTTCACACAATTAAAAACATCGCATGTACCCTTTTTTCATGCTCATTTACCTCCTAATTTTAAGGTCGAATCCCTTTAGATGGCTTCTACATTCTTAGAATTCTACCTTCCATGACCATTTAAAATGGCACCATGTACCATAAATCTTTTACAGAAAACCTACCTACTCCCATCTTCATGTCCTTAAATGCTTATCTTATTTATCTCTCGCCATTATCTACAAGATTACATCATGTACCGCTCCATGAATTTTTCTTGGTTATCCTCCACATAATTATGGTTTTCGGTGTCTCTGTCTTGCTTCAAAATATCATGATATCCCACGATGTTGTGTTTAATGAGTCCTTGATGACCTTTCTAGTCATTCACATATAGCCCAATCCATATTTGGTCTATACTACATACACCAAATCCGATGCCACGCACGCTCGCCCACACTACATGAAAGCATTTTCTCATGTACATACCACATAAGTTTTCATGCCAGCAATGCCACCATCTCAACAATCATCTGATGACACCTTAGAAACCTCATTGTAACACCTATTCCAAGCATTACTTAAATTATTTATTTAAGTTTAAGGTTTTGTGCATGGACTTGGCGAGTTGGGAGTTCAACTCATCGACTAGGAGCATTATCGGTTGACACGGGATCAAGACCTACTCGACGAGTCGGAAGGCCGACTCGGCGAGTAGGAGCTCTAAAGAGAAACCCTAATTTGTAGGGTTTGCACCATATTTAAATAACATATCCTGCATCTTGTGGCCTCCCTTAGCACCCTATCAATTATAGAAAACCCTAGATCAACCTTGCACCCTCTTGAGTGAAAGAAAGAGACATGGTGAGCAACCTTGGGGTGATTGTGAAGAACTTTAGAGCTTGAAGAAGGAGATAGGAGAGGAACAGTAGATCCAACATCTATATCATTTTTTTAGCATCCTAAGGTATAAAGTCTTGATCTTGATCTCTAGTTACTTAGATCTCCTTCTTGGAAGTAAATGGCCATTCTTGGTGCAAAATGGAGTCAAACTTGGATCTGGACTTATCACAAGGATAGGGTTCCAGATCTGGACCTCTTTAGGTCCCAAATGCCATAAAGTTGTTTCCTTTATGCAGTTTAGTCACTTCCCATGCACAAAAACCTTGTAAGAAGCCTAGTTTTGAAGTTATAGCCTTGAAGGACCTTGCATGCATGTAAAGTTTGCAACTTTACGTGGTATATGCACTAGGAGAGCTTAGATCTGGAGTTTGGGACCTTAGATTCCACTGAAAAGGGCTGAACTTGATGAAGACTGAAGGAACTCGTTGAGTCCCTTAGCTGACTCGACGATTCAAGTAGGGTTTACACGTTTTCGGGTATCCCGAGGGATTTCGGTCCCACAAGTTTTCGGTTCCATGAGTTTTCGGTTGTCACGAGTTTTCGGTTGACATTCAGTTTTCGATTTCATGGGTTTTCGGAGGGACTCGGCGAATTACACAGGTAACTCGGTGAGTGGATGAGTTACTCAGAAACTCGACGAGTTGCTGGATGCACTCAACGAGTTGAGGTCAACATGGACTGTTGACCTTGACCGGTGACCTTGACTTTGACCAGGGTTGACTTTAAGGGCAATTATGGGATTATGACAAGTTAATCACATAATGATTATAGGCAGCTGAGTGGGAGCAACACGTGGAACATATCTGATTCTAGCTTGTCAGTTCAGCATCCGAGAGATGAGTCTTCTCACCATACCAATGGGTCTACGGCACCAAGGCCGGCCCATTTTATGATATGTAGTACACTAGCTGTAGTAGAGATATGTAGTATGATAGTTAGCTTATGCTAAGTGGTATGCTAGTGATTATGTATGTTATTGCATGGAAGACCCCGGGGTGTGCCCGTGGCAGTTGGGATATAAGACCATGTGGGGGAGCCTATGGCATTCCTAGGTGAAGATCATGTGGGGGAGCCCATGGCATGATGGTATAAGACCCTGGGGGAGCCCACGACATGCTTATATATTTATGTATGTGTTAGGTAGTATGATAGATACCTTTGTGATATATGATATGCTAGTTGATTATATATGTGATTTGCATGGAAGACCCCGGGGGAAGCCCGTGGCAGTTGGATATAAGACCATGTGGGGGAGCCCATGGCATTCGTAGGTAAAGACCATGGGGGAAGCCCATGGAACGAGGGTATAAGACCCTCGGGGGGAGCCCATGGCATCCTTATATGTTGTATGCATGGCTTGTGTGGTAGAGATAACTTTTATAGCTAATTTGATATGTGTTATGTGGATTATGTGTAGGGTATGCTCTGGGGGACTCACTAAGCATTAGCTTATAGTTTTTGGATTTGTTTCAGGTACATCTGAGCCCAAGGGCAAGGGCAAGGCGTGATGGCGCGATGTGCACTGTCTCAGACATTTTTATGGGACCTTCTGATGTTTTGAAATAAAATTGTAAATGATATGAGTTTTGAAAACAATTGTATATGGATTTCACGGTTTATGGGAATGTGTTTTGATTAATTAAAAATGAAAATTTTCTTTTGAAAATTGGGTCGTTACAAGTTGGTATCAGAGCCTTGGTTTGAGGGATTCGGGCACACTCTCGGGTGTGT